TAAGGAACCTCCATACTGTTCTCCATAGTGGCTGTATCAATTTACCTTCCCACCAGCAGTGCAAGAGGCTTCCCTTTTCTCCACACCCTCTCCAGCATTTGTTTGGAGATTTTCTGACGATGCCCATTCTAACTGGTGTGAGGTGTTTTGATTTGCATTTCTCTAATAATTACTGATGTCGAGCAGCTTTTCATGTGCTTCTTGGCCATCTGTATGTCTTCTTTGGAGAAATGTCTATTTAGGTCCTCAGCCCATTTTTGGATTGGGTTGTTTGTTTTTTTAATATTGAGCTACATGAGCTGTTTATATATTTTGAAGATTAATCCTTTGTTCATTGATTTGTTTGCAAATATTTTCTCCCGTTTTGAGGGTTGTCTTTTCATCTTGAAGGAATCGAGATATTTTAATGATTTGTATCCTTTAACTTTTTTTGCTAGGAGACTGGATGACAGCATTCGAACTGTCGTAAGAGGTCAAACAAATGTGGGGCAGGATGGCCGGCAAGTAAGTAACTTATTCCTTCATATTAAATATATCCCGATTTCTTCAAGGCCCCACAACCAAGTGACCAAAATATTGATCTGCCTGCTTACAGAGTACTTCCTTAACTGATCAGGAAACTTGCATGACTTGTCCCACTAGTAGCAGGGGGAGGCTGCCCAGACCAGCCATGAGCTGTCACTCAGCGTCCCTTGGACCAGAAGCATATATTGTAGCACAGCTCACCCAGGTCCAGGGTTAAATGCATGCTGAAATGAGAAAACCGAAGTTTCCTTGGCTTCCTCCTTAATGTCGGACGTCTCTGAGCCCTCCTTTATTTTGTGTACTGTGGCCTAACAAGGTTGCTGCATTTATCTATCTGCTAAGTTGTTGGGATTTAGATATTAGTTTTTTTAAAAAAATATTTATTTAGGCTGCTCTGGGTCTTAGTTGCGGCATGCAAACTCTTAGATGTGGTACGCATGCGGGATCTAGTTCCCTGACCAGGGATTGAACCCGGGCCCCCTGCATTGGGAGCACGAGTGTTACCCACTGGACCACCAGGGAAGTCCCTCATATTACTTTTGTTGCTGCAAAAGATAGCAGTAACCTGTGTGTCAAAAGACATTATCAACAGAGTAAAAAGTCAACCTGTAGAATGGGAGAGAATATTTGCCAATCATATATCTGATGAGGGATTAATATCCAGAATATTTAGAGAACTCCTAAAATTCAACAACAAAAAAGCAAACAACCTGATTAAAAACTGGGCAAAGGACTTGAATAGACATTTCTCCAAAGAAGATAATATGAATGGCCAACGAGCCCACGAAAAGATGCTCAGTATCACTAATCATTAGGAAAATGCAAATCAAAAGTACAGTGAGGGCTTCCCTGGTGGCACAGTGGTTGAGAGTCCGCCTGCCGATGCAGGGGACGCAGGTTCATGCCCCGGTCTGGGAAGATCCCACATGCCGCGGAGCGGCTGGGCCCGTGAGCCATGGCCGCTGGGCCTGTGCGTCAGGAGCCTGTGCTCCGCAGCGGGAGAGGCCACAACAGTGAGAGACCCGCGTACCGTAAAAAAAAAAAAAAAAAAAAAAGTACAGTGAGAGTGGGACTTCCCTGGTGGCGCAGTGGTTAAGAATCCGCCTGCCAGACCTACTAGAGGATGGACTTGAGGATATGGGGAGGGGGAAGGGTAAGCTGGGATGAAGTGAGAGAGTGGCATGGACATACATACACTACCAAACGTAAAACAGATAGCTAGTGGGAAGCAGCCGCAGAGCACAGGGAGATCAGCTCGGTGCTTTGTGACCACCTAGAGGGGTGGGATAGGGAGGGTGGGAGGGAGGGAGATGCAAGAGGGAAGAGATATGGGAACATATGTATATGTGTAACTGATTCACTTTGTTATAAAGCAGAAACTAACACACCATTGTAAAGCAATTATACTCCAATAAAGATGTAAAAAATAAATAAAAGAAAAAAGAAAAAGAATCCGCCTGCCAATACAGGGGACACAGGTTCAAGCCCTGGTCTGGGAAGATCCCACGTGCCGCGGAGCAACTAAGCCCATGCGCCACAACTACTGAGCCTGTGCTCTAGAGCCCGCGAGCCACAACTGCTGAAGCCCAGGTGTCTAGAGCCTGTGCTCCACAACAAGAGAAGCCACCGCAAGGAGAAGCCCACGCACCGCAACGAAGAGTAGCCCCCGCTTACCGCGACTAGAGAAAGCCTGCGCACAGCAACGAAGATCCAACAAAGCCAAAAATTAATAAATAAATAAAGTGTTTCTCTTGGAAAAAAACACAGCATTTATAAAAAAAAAATGTACACTGAGATACCACCTCACACCGATTAGGATGACTACTATCAAAAAACCAGAAAACAACAAGTGTTGGCAAAGATGTGAAGAAATTGAAATGCTTGTGCGCTGCTGGTGGAAATGTAAAATGGTACAGTTGCTGTGTAAAACAATACAGTGGTTCCTCAAAAAATTAAAATGAATTATCATATGATCCAGCAGTTCTACTTCTGGGTATATACTCAAGAGAATTGGAAGCAGGGTCCTGGAGAGATACCTGCTACCCCCATGTTCATAGCAGCATTATTCACAATAGCTAAAACATGGAAGCGACCCAGGTGTCCATTGGCAGATGAATGGATAAGCAGAATATGGTCTGTACATAATTGGAATATTATTCAGCCTTAAAAAGTTAAGAAATTCTGAAAAAAAAAAGGGGGGGGACTTACCTGGTGGTCCAGTGGTTGAGACTCTGAGCTCCCACTGCAGGGGGCCCAGGTTTGATCCCTGGTCAGGGAACTAGATCCCGCATGCTGCAACTAAGAGCCCACATGCCGCACCTAAAGATCCCGCATGCCGCAACTGAGGATCCTGCATGCAGCAATGAAGATCCCATGTGCTGCAACTAAGACCTGACACAGCCAAATAAATAAATAAATAAATATTTTTTTTAAAAAAAAAAAAAGGAAAGAAATTCTGACATCTGCTACAGCATGGATGAACCTTGAGGACATTATGCTAAATGAAATAAGCCAGTCACAAAAAGACAAATATCGGATGATTCCACTTATATGAGGTACTTAAGAGTAGTGAAAATCATAAAGACAGAATGTATAATGGTAGTTGCCAGGGGCTGGGGGAGAACGGGGAGTTAGTGTTTAATACATGTAGAGTTTCCGTTTTACAGGATGAATTATGGGGATAGATAGTGGTGATGGTTGCACAACAGGTCAATGAAACTGTACAATAAAGAATGGTTAAGATAGTAAATTTTATGTTATGTGTATTTTACCTCAATAAAATTTTTTTGAAATCAAGATGGAAATAAAGTTGATATATTGCAAAAAAAAAAAAAAAAGAAAGAAAGAGAGAGAGATAGTAGTAACCTGACACAGCTATAATTCCTCATACCTAGTTTTGTTGCCTAGCAGGTAACTGTCGATTCATTTCAAAGTTTTATAGTTCTTTTTGGATCTAGCTAAGGAGGGCTGTTGGAAGGGGATGCGGGGGAGAAGCATTGTACGGGGAAGAGGTATTCTTCAGTGACTGGGGGGCCAGATGTTATCTGTTAACCATTTTTCCTTTTCATCTGGATTCTAGTCTTCTGCTTAGACGTCCTATTTCGGAATTGCTGTCGTAACAGAAGCGCTGATCGTGCCCTGTCTAGTCTTCCCTTACAGTGTCCGGCCTGACCTCTTCAACAGTAATTCAGTTAGGTCGGCTGTGTGCGCCTCTCAGTTCTGTTATTTGTCCTGTTTTGACATTATTTAGTATATAGCCAATTTTTTTTAATGTTCATTATGCTGCCTACATTTTATGGGGGTAGCGTGTAGTCCTGTGATCTCTCATATTCCGGTTTCCTCTGGTAGCTCACAGGTGTTATATAAGTCTTTTTCCTTTTCTCTTACATGTTTAGTTTTATCCGCTTCTCTATTTTTCCTACATTTTATGACTTTCTTTTTCCTCTTACTTGTCATCTTCCGTTGGCCTGTTTGTAAGGAGTCTACCTTGTAGTTATTGTCAATATTTGTGTGTAGACATCTTAGTTTCCCACAACTGATCCTATTTCCTGGCCTTGCTTGGTTCTTAGTCCTTATTGCTTTGGCTTTTGTTTATTTAGGTCTCTCCCATGAAGCGTCGCCTCTCTGGCAGGTGAGGCCTGTGTAAATAGGGCCCTTAGACGTAACAAAGAGTAACAGGGTAGCCGGCCAACACTGTAGCCTCATTCTGCTCTTTCACTTTCCGACATATGTCTGGTCATGTCATCGACACAGCCCACAAACCCCTGTGGGCTCTCTACCAACTTCAATCCAAGTTCCTTTGCATGGCATTGAAGGCCTCAATCTACCTTTCCAGTTTTGTCTCCTGCTGTGACCCATCCACGCTGGAAGCGTAGTGCTCTCCCAAGCATGCCCTTTGCTTTCCGGACCTGTGCTTATGTTCTTCTTTTTGCCTAAAATGCTCTCTCTCCTCTTTTTCTTCCAGTAGCTTCACTTCAAGATCATACCCAGTTCAAATACTACTTCCTTTATGAAATTTTCTGTTTGGCTCAACAGTATATACCAAAGGAATCAGAGTTTTAGAACCCTAAGGGACTTGGAACTCATCTGGTCCACTCCTCTCATTTCACAGATGAGAAAATCGATCCCAGTATCCATCAGTTAGATGTACAGTCTCTCTGTCCACGAACTCCCACAGTCCTACGCCCGTGCTTTTGATTTGGCTTTCGTGATCTGCTCTGACGTATCAGTGAATACATCTTGTCCCTTTGGCTCGTGTATAAGGTCCTTGAGGCAAAAGCTGTATCTCCCTCATCTTGGCACTTCTCAGAACACATAGGCCACCTGCAATAACATTTTATTCAACTGTATTGAATATTAGGTCTGTGGGAGAGTATTTATTATTTGTAAATAAACAAAAGCCCTCTCCCATAAAACATCATTTTGACCAGCGTGTGTGTTCCTTTAAAGATGTTTAAAGCTTGATTTGTTTATGACTAGTCCCAGCTTACTACTATTTGACATAACAACACTACTGTTTAGTGTGTTTCCACCTATATTTAGAAAGGCTCACTAGAAACCTTGAAATACTTCAGAGAGTTTCAGGTATTTACAATTCCAAGAATGTGAAAATAAAGTGAATGATTCATTAGCACTTTCTGTTGGGTCATGCTGTGTAGATATATATATCTTTTAGTTATTTATGTTTTAACCTGTGGTCACAAACGAGCGTTATTGGAGAGGCAGGCCCAGAATTAGACAGCCTGGAGGAAAGTCGGCCCTCCCCACCTTCACATGTTAATAGGTTACAGGTTGCTGCAGCAAAGGCAGGCCATATTTCAGAGAGCAAGACCACATTTCAAGAACGTTTAGATAGCATTTCAATCTGTGATGGAATTTGGTATCCGTCTCCTTAGCATCCAGACAGAAAGGAAGCCCAGAAGAAGTAATTGCTTTTCCTGTCATCTCCTCCATCTGTGTTTTCCAACAGCTTGTAATGC